GTAAAGGTTAACTTTTTGAAATGAATGTATTACTTTATTTATATTTAATGTGTTTCTAAATGATACTTTGATTACTGTATTTCGATAATAGTTACACCACTTCAAACTTTGAATTGGGTATTGGAATTTGCAAAATCACATTGCCTACAATCTATCTATATAACCCATTGAACGCGTGTCTGTCCGTCCGCGTAACGGTATGCCAAAAATGGGCACTAGAGGTGCCCTAGCGATGATTTTAAATTAACAATAAATTATCTTTATTTGTAATAGGAATTTATTATTTTTACCGTGGAATGGTATAAATAAATATATGTGCCTTGATTAACCTTGTGCCGCATGTTTACAACATCCCGTGACTCACAAGTCAGTGAATGTCGCGTATTGACTCACGGGATGTTTGTTGAAAAAAATGGCGGATACATTTAAAATCGAGGTTTACAACCGAAGGTAAATAAACAAATTAAACTATTTTAAAGTTTTATAGAATGTTTATTAGATAGAAATATAGGGTTGAAATCTAAGACAAATGTATGCGATTCAGACTGGAAGACAGCTGTAGAGCATATTGATAGGAACAAAAAAGTCAAAGGAACCGTGCCTCATGGGAATTTGTAAAGAATGCCCACTAGGGGGCATCCCGGGCTACTAGTATGTTATGACACAAGATTCCAAGTGGCAATACAATTCAGATGGATTCATTTCATTCAGTTCATTAGGCAGCTCTTTTTATAGTTAAGATGTTGTTTTAGAAACACGTGAAAGTGTCTACTTCGGTCATAACATTGAGTTAAGGAATGATAGAAGTTGATCTGTCAGGTTACTAGTTAGACAGCGCTGACTTTAAGAATTCAGAAAATGATGTTATTTTAAATTTCTATCTGATACATTCTGTGATATCATATCTGATATTGATATCACAAAATTGTGGGGGCCGAGGGGGGAGAAATAAAAAAACTCGATGAACGATAATATGTGATATATATCGTCATCGTCTCCCTTGGCGTTTGGACAGCTGAGCGGTAACAATCAACGACATGTGGAAGCAGTTGAGTCAGAGATAGATATTTCATTTACAAACGACACAACCGTTTATTAAACACGAAAGAAGCTTACAAGATTTCCGCGATCTTGGAAGTTCTGCGGTGGCTACAGTTTCTGGGTCTTTCTCTCCTTTCCAAGATAGTCCCATTTTGAAGGAGTGTCCCTTGTTCGCGAATGAATCATTCCATCACGTCTCGACGACTCCGGGACGATGCGGTTGACTTTCATTGATGGAAAGACGTCGATCCGCGGTCGGGAGATGAAGATGGGTGCGAGACACACACACAACAACAGATCCGTCACTTGGAACTTTCGGGAGAAGAAGCCGTCGTGTCCTTGAATTTCTGGGGTTTTATCTGTTTTCTCTCAGATTCCCCTTTTCCAATTGGTCTCTCCTCGTCACCTGATGACAATTCGAAACCTTTCGAGAGCTCAGGAGAGGTCAAAATCGAAGTTTAATTCGATTTCCAACTGGAAATGGTCGACGGGCTTACATTCTTCTATTGTTTAAAAGTTAGCGTCGCGTTTTCATAAAATAAAAATCTATCTCTAACTACTATATATTTTTTCTCTAAAACAATTATTTTAACGCAAATTTTAGTGAGGGTTCAGACCTGTCCAGAGCCTCACAGAATGATTGTCTTGGTGCTTGTAAAAATATTTCATATTTTTATGCAAAAATCTACTATATGTTCATTTCATTTTCCAAATCCACTTTTTCTTTAAAATATTAATTTACTCAGAAATAACAAATTTTTAAAATTTTGATTTGTTAATTTTTTTCACTTGATTTGCAAATTAACATAATTAATACATAATATATTTTTATCTCAAGAAAAAATTAAAGTAGAAATTTGAAGAAATCAGATGCTGTTACATGCTACAATGAAATATTGCAGGAAATATTTGCTATTGAGCAACTGTTTTTTATACGATAGCTTTGTCGTCATAAATTTTTCTATGATCTTATCTTTACTGCATATGCAGCTGCTTTGCACATACATTTTTTTTACATTTTTAATCATCTCAAACTTGGCACAAAAGGAACCAAAACATTATTTAAAAGTTGGTTTTTTATTTATATAAAAAAAATTTTAAACTGCTATAGATATGTATAAGTTTTATCAATATAAAAGGTAATTTTGGTATAGTTATTTACAAGAATTTTTAACATAAAATTTTGTTTTAAAAATTTTAGTGAAATATTACATAATGATTATGCTAAATTAATTATCATAATGATTGATTTATATTTTAGTCTATTGCCAGATTTTGTATCTGTATTGATAAAATATGTTGTTCAGTAGAAATCTGTTATAAAAATATATAAATTGCATTAAACAACACTGAATAGAAAAATTTTTGTTTTTGTTGTTGATTATTAATAAGTTACTTTAGATAGTACATGTAAAATAACTATTATTAACTCTTAATCAAAACAAGTTTCTGAGAAGTAAAGGGATATAATGTTTGCCAAATGTTACTAATTACTAGATGTATATGTAGTATTTTTTAATAAATTATTCAGATTTTTGTTTACATTGAGCAATTTATAAGAAATATTTTTTTTGTATTACAAAATGATTAGCTTATCACTAAGTGTTTTTTTTTACGTTTATTTTTATATAATGATTTTTCAGATTTTTCTAAGCTGTGGATAAGGTTATTCAATTCAACATGTTCCACAAAGGTGGAGATGGTCGACCTCGAGGATTTGGTTTTGAAGGTTTCTCTCTACCTGGAAAGAAACAAGATCAACCATTAGGACAAAGTGCTTTACATTGTGTACCACCACCACCAATGCTAAACAAGCATGGTTATACAGGATTACAAGCAATAACTCAGAATGCACTGGATGCAACGTATGGTCTTCCTCGCAAACGACCCAAAACTGAGGAAGAGTGAGTAAATTCATATAATTTTTAGAATTTGATTATAGTAAGTTTTCTAAAAAGATTTAAGCATTGGTATTACATATTTTTCTTTTAATAAATTCAACTTAATTATAAGATAATTTTAAAAAAATAATTTTATTATTTGTAGTTATTATATTTTAATGCATATTTTATAACATTAATCTCATACTAATATGAAATCTAGTGTACATATATAGTAAACATTAGAAAATTTAATGGTGAAATTGCTTTCAGTTGATGAATTAGACACTTCTGATTAATAATACAGTCAATTCCGCTTAATTGAGACACATTGGCACATTGGGACTAATCCATTTTAGCCCAGTTAAGCGGCTACCCCCAATTAAACAAACTAATAAGAAATTCTATAATAAAATATGTAATATGTAGATAAATAAATAAGTAGGTAAAAAATAATAATTAGGTATCTGTTTTAATGCTTTATTAAACCAAAATACAGAAAATATTTGTACTACAAATTGCCAGACTCACGACAATAGATAACTGATTCACATAATGCTAGTGTTGCTAAATATTAGTAATGATGTACACAAGAATTGACTATTTGATCCATTTCTGATCGAACAATTTTTCCTTTCTTTCTTTTTAGTTAGAACATGTTCTAACTAAAAAGAGAGAAAGGAAAGGGTTTGTCCAAAAGTCATTTTACAGTCTTCTTTTGAGCACAGTTTTCTTTACTTGGAGATGGACCACTTTGACAGGAGTGTCTGTAGAATCCGCCAGTTTGATGCTAGTCTCAACAATCAGATGGCTGCTGTCAGATGGTCTGAATCTAGATGTAATTATGCACACAATACCTTCCAAGGAAACTCTAGCTGTCTTCCAACTCAGTTGAGATACCTCAAAAAATTGTCTGGTGATCTTTGTCCCTTTGCTTTTAAGGGGATTGTTTGGTCCAATCCAAAGCAGGATCAGTAACTTGCATTCAGGTCTGCCTCACTATACTGACCCCCTCTGGAAAAACCGAACTGTCTGAGCACAAGACAAAATTGCCTTGTCTCTGCTAACCGTTACAAGACATTAGTGTAATAGTGCCTACATATTTTCAGAAGATTACTAAAATATATCAAAAATTGCTAAATTCCTTTTCTGCAACTGTCCCAATTAAGCAAAACGTTGTCCAAATTAGTTTGGTTTCCGTTCTTTGAGATTATATAACACTCGCCAAATAAACCATTACCAGTTCATTCATTATTGTTAGTTCGATATCGTCAATAATATATTTTTATCTCAAGAAAAAATTAAAGTAGAAATTTGAAGAAATCAGATGCTGTTACATGCTACAATGAAATATTGCAGGAAATATTTGCTATTGAGCAACTGTTTTTTATACGATAGCTTTGTCGTCATAAATTTTTCTATGATCTTATCTTTACTGCATATGCAGCTGCTTTGCACATACATTTTTTTTACATTTTTAATCATCTCAAACTTGGCACAAAAGGAACCAAAACATTATTTAAAAGTTGGTTTTTTATTTATATAAAAAAAATTTTAAACTGCTATAGATATGTATAAGTTTTATCAATATAAAAGGTAATTTTGGTATAGTTATTTACAAGAATTTTTAACATAAAATTTTGTTTTAAAAATTTTAGTGAAATATTACATAATGATTATGCTAAATTAATTATCATAATGATTGATTTATATTTTAGTCTATTGCCAGATTTTGTATCTGTATTGATAAAATATGTTGTTCAGTAGAAATCTGTTATAAAAATATATAAATTGCATTAAACAACACTGAATAGAAAAATTTTTGTTTTTGTTGTTGATTATTAATAAGTTACTTTAGATAGTACATGTAAAATAACTATTATTAACTCTTAATCAAAACAAGTTTCTGAGAAGTAAAGGGATATAATGTTTGCCAAATGTTACTAATTACTAGATGTATATGTAGTATTTTTTAATAAATTATTCAGATTTTTGTTTACATTGAGCAATTTATAAGAAATATTTTTTTTGTATTACAAAATGATTAGCTTATCACTAAGTGTTTTTTTTTACGTTTATTTTTATATAATGATTTTTCAGATTTTTCTAAGCTGTGGATAAGGTTATTCAATTCAACATGTTCCACAAAGGTGGAGATGGTCGACCTCGAGGATTTGGTTTTGAAGGTTTCTCTCTACCTGGAAAGAAACAAGATCAACCATTAGGACAAAGTGCTTTACATTGTGTACCACCACCACCAATGCTAAACAAGCATGGTTATACAGGATTACAAGCAATAACTCAGAATGCACTGGATGCAACGTATGGTCTTCCTCGCAAACGACCCAAAACTGAGGAAGAGTGAGTAAATTCATATAATTTTTAGAATTTGATTATAGTAAGTTTTCTAAAAAGATTTAAGCATTGGTATTACATATTTTTCTTTTAATAAATTCAACTTAATTATAAGATAATTTTAAAAAAATAATTTTATTATTTGTAGTTATTATATTTTAATGCATATTTTATAACATTAATCTCATACTAATATGAAATCTAGTGTACATATATAGTAAACATTAGAAAATTTAATGGTGAAATTGCTTTCAGTTGATGAATTAGACACTTCTGATTAATAATACAGTCAATTCCGCTTAATTGAGACACATTGGCACATTGGGACTAATCCATTTTAGCCCAGTTAAGCGGCTACCCCCAATTAAACAAACTAATAATAAATTCTATAATAAAATATGTAATATGTAGATAAATAAATAAGTAGGTAAAAAATAATAATTAGGTATCTGTTTTAATGCTTTATTAAACCAAAATACAGAAAATATTTGTACTACAAATTGCCAGACTCACGACAATAGATAACTGATTCACATAATGCTAGTGTTGCTAAATATTAGTAATGATGTACACAAGAATTGACTATTTGATCCATTTCTGATCGAACAATTTTTCCTTTCTTTCTTTTTAGTTAGAACATGTTCTAACTAAAAAGAGAGAAAGGAAAGGGTTTGTCCAAAAGTCATTTTACAGTCTTCTTTTGAGCACAGTTTTCTTTACTTGGAGATGGACCACTTTGACAGGAGTGTCTGTAGAATCCGCCAGTTTGATGCTAGTCTCAACAATCAGATGGCTGCTGTCAGATGGTCTGAATCTAGATGTAATTATGCACACAATACCTTCCAAGGAAACTCTAGCTGTCTTCCAACTCAGTTGAGATACCTCAAAAAATTGTCTGGTGATCTTTGTCCCTTTGCTTTTAAGGGGATTGTTTGGTCCAATCCAAAGCAGGATCAGTAACTTGCATTCAGGTCTGCCTCACTATACTGACCCCCTCTGGAAAAACCGAACTGTCTGAGCACAAGACAAAATTGCCTTGTCTCTGCTAACCGTTACAAGACATTAGTGTAATAGTGCCTACATATTTTCAGAAGATTACTAAAATATATCAAAAATTGCTAAATTCCTTTTCTGCAACTGTCCCAATTAAGCAAAACGTTGTCCAAATTAGTTTGGTTTCCGTTCTTTGAGATTATATAACACTCGCCAAATAAACCATTACCAGTTCATTCATTATTGTTAGTTCGATATCGTCAATACCTGAGGATGTCTATTACATATAGATGAAAACGTTCGTAGAAAGAATTTTTCTGTTTGGTTATGAACTGGTAATGGTTTATTTGGTGAGTGTTATATAATTAAGTATCCAGTTTTTTGAAATACAGGTAGGCCTCCTACAACGCGGTACCTTTACAACACGTTTTCGCTCCAACGCGGTTGGAAAAATGCGGAAATTTTCTTACAACACGGTACTTTTACAACGTGGTTTACGGTATTTAGAAATGAATTATCTTCACATAACAGAAAAATCGCAACATATCATGTGATACGAGCTGCAGTTCGGCATACAAAGCTAAAAGTCTTTGAAAACAGCTGTTTGTGGACATTGGCATGTTATTTTCTTGAAAGTTTCAGGGGAAGACTGGTTTCTAGACAGATGTGCGTCAGTTACCGTAAACACTCAAATATATCACTAAATTTTCGATCATTTATACTCTTTCAATAGGTGGGGACCGCAAAAATGGTCCAAAATACAGTATAAACTTCTATTGGGTGTATATTTTTAACAACACAGTGAAATGAAGTTATTTTTTGCGATTTTTACTGTTCACAAAACTGGTTGAAAAAATTTTAGCCATAACAATGCCGAATGAAAAAAAAGGACCGTCGTTAAAAAGGAAATTTATAACTTCAAACAAAGATAGAAATTTTGGATTGAATTAAAAATCAAGATCGGATAGCTGATATTAGTAGGCATTTTAATTTAAATGAGTCGACGATTCGGTCGAGAGAAAAGATCAGAAATTTGGTCGCATCTGGATCATCTGTTCTTGCGAAAAATGTTGCTCGTCCTAGAGCAACTATAATGGAAAAAATGGAACAAGCGCTAATAATATGGGTAGAAGATATGAACAAGAAACGGTTGCCTTTAAATAAAACTGCACTTAAACACAAAGCCTTAAAAATATTTGATTATTTAAAACAAATGGGACAGTCATCAGCTGATAAAACCAGTGTTAAATTCGTGGCTAGCAATGGCTGGTTTGAAAAATTCAAAAAATGCCGTTCAAACATCAAGTTTTTCTCTTTTTAGAACCAAATCCCAGTTTTTGTATTAAGTCGGTGTCTCCTATAACATGATTTCCCACAACGCAGTATTTTCAAAGAACGTATCTACTGCGTTGTAAGAGGCCTACCTGTACAGTATATTGAAGATGGCTTTGCCGCCGGCCAAAACATTCTTTGAGATTTGGCCCAATAAAGCAGCTGCCCTGATTAACCGGTGACCCAATTAAACGGAATTGACTGTATATCATTTATCAACTGAAAATCTGAAATGTTTCGGAAGTCTCAAGACTGTCAAGCAAAATCATTTGATAAAAAAATGATTTAAAATATATTTCAATTAAAAAGAATATATTTTTTTTATATTGTATATATTTTTATTTGTTTAGTTTCTAATACAGTCGATCCCCCTATAAGACGGTAGATACGTTTCGTTCTTTATGAATCAATTTTGTAGGAATCACAGCCAATATTATAAAAGAATATATTATTTTTTATATTGTATATATTTTTATTTGTTTAGTTTCTAATACAGTCGATCCCCCTATAAGACGGTAGATACATTCCGTTCTTTATGAATCAATTTTGTAGGAATCGCAGCCAATCACAGCCCGACACGTGTGAAGTTTACGGACTACGGCTGTTTGAAAGGTTTTCTTCCATAAAATTAATCGATTCTAGACTAATTTGACTCATCATTTCCAAAATACGTATATTTTTTTTGGAAATAATCCATATAAACTACACTATAAACAAAAAATTGTAGGATTACTTACTGAATGTGCACCATTCGACATCGGCATTGCTCAAGCTTGTTTTCGTCGCGGAACAGCGCAGCAAACCACGGCCGCGATTTCTGATGTTATTTTTCTGCGAAAACTTTGTTGAACTTTGGAGACATCATTAATATAAATAATTTTAATTGCCGTTGAATAAGAAATGTTTCTTTCACAAGAAATGTATAAAATTACAGTACTGTATTAGACTTATGGTACCTAATTTACATACTGTACAGACAATAGCTCGCCTAAACTCTCCGTAGCGTGGCGCTAGACGGCGGAAAGTATATATATAATTATAATAAAGTTACAATAAATTAAGTTAATATATAATTATATATACAGTACCTAATTTATATATAATTATATGTACAGACGATACTAAACTCAATTTACCCGCCTAAACTGTCCATAGTGTGGCGCTGGACGGCGAAAAGTAGTTCAGCTGCCCGATGACGTTTTACATAATTATAGGAGTTTTTTTACCATTGTTTATGGATACCGCCACAATTTTTTTGCCGTCTTACAGGAATCGTAATTATAGGAACCTGTCTTATAGGGGGATCTACTGTATATACAAATATATGATTTGTACTTGCATTGAAAAAATATTTAAAAAGTATTTAAAAAATAATTTGAATTGGGGTGAGCAGACAAATGTAAAGTATTTATTTATTTTATATGTATACTAGCTGTTACCCATGGCTTTGCCTGCAAGGATTTTGCAAGCAAACCCCATTTGTATTCAGTATTTCAACAACCATAATAATTGTTACTTAACACCTACCGCTGAGAATGATGAGAATTGCTAAGAATCAAACGAACTGTTTTCAATTTGATAAATTTTCTGGAACGTTTACAATCATTCTATAATCAAACCAATATGCAATAACAAATTTGAATTTCAAACGGTTCGAACATTTGGTTAAAAAATCGAAATATATAAAAATATTTATAACGATGTCTGAAATGTTATCAATTTAATACATCTAAGTACTCAATGAAGACTAAACGTATTTGAAAACAAAAAATTGCATCTAAAATAGTACAGCAGAAGCCGTTCTTCTGGTTAAGCCTTAATTTTCTCCCTCTCCTCCCACGGGGGAATTTCAAAAAATCCCTTCTTAGTGTGCATTCCTATGGCATACCCTACTAACACGCAGATAAAAACAAAAAATTGCATCTAAAATAGTACAGTAGAAGCCGTACTTCCAGTTAAGCTTTAATCTCTTCCTCTCCCTTCCCGCGGGGGAATTTCAAAAAATCCCTTCTTAGTGCGCGTTTTCATGACGTACCCTAACTGTGTACCAAATTTCACCTCTTTAGGTTCAGCGGTTTGCTCTGGGTGATGATGAATCAATTAGTCAGTCAGGACAAGTAATTTTTTATATTTAGATTTTGCTTATGCTTTCATAAATTATCTATTGCATATGATACAAAACTTAGTTAAACTTTAAATATAACGTTCAAAGAAACATAAACACAAGTTATTTAATTAGTATTTGATTGCTTGCTGTTCTCTCTTTTGGTTGTATGTTCTTTGGAATTAGACACAAATTTGCTAGTGAGAATTTAACAAACACGAACACTTTTTCTGATGGAAAAAGTAGATTTTATTTTCTATTTTTTATAAAAGGAAATGCATTTTGGCTACATGCCCTCTTCAGTCCTTATTATATATAATGATAAAACTATATAAGAAATTTCAGAATGTATTTAATAGTTAGTTACATTTTACATATGCATACAACTCATAAAAAGAACACAAAAAAGTTATTACCTGTAATATAACTAATGGTAACAACTGGAATAACTAAGTGTTAAAAATGTAGGGTAAAACTAAAATAAATTAAAAAATAAACTGTGCTAAAATTATAGAAAAAAATTGGCAAATAAAAGGAGTAAAAACAAAAACTGGCTAAAAAATAAAGTAAAAAATAC